TCGTTCTTTCCCGAAAATCGATTGACTGGATATGAAGCAAAAATTGATAGAGAAGAATAAGTTTTGTTCAGATGAAGTGATGATTGCAGTTGAAAACCATTATGTTTTAAGGTGGGTTCAGCTGAGATGATTGCACGAATAGTTGATGATCTGAAAGATGAAAATGAATTGTATCGAAAAATGGTTATGGAAACAATTGAAAATATTGTTTCATTGATGGGAGCTAATGAAATCGATGCACGTTTGGAGGAACAGCTTATTGATGGTATTGTGTATGCTTTCCAAGAACAAACGCAAGAGGTATGCTCTGCTTTAATATTTTCAACTTAGATGCATGAAAATTGCTATTACTATATGTCATACTTTTTAGGACGCAGTAATGTTGGATGGATTCGGTACAGTTTGTAAGGGTTTGGGTCGGCGTACAAAACCATATCTTCCTCAAATCTGCGGTACTATATTGTGGCGTCTTAATAATAAATCTGCTAAAGTTCGACAACAGGCTGCAGATTTGGTATGTTATGGTCATTTTTCTATTAGAACAATACAAATAAAGGACCTGTTTATTTAGACGTTAACTCGATTTGAAAAGATTTTTTATCCTGCTCAATTATAGGATAACAACAAGTTTTGTACCTCTTATATTTACATTTTTAATGAATTGGAAATTATTGAATTATTAAAAATGATTGATATTACAGATAGCCAAGCTCGCTCCAGTTATGAATATTTGTCAAGAAGAGAAACTTATGGGGCATTTGGGCGTTGTTTTATATGAGTATCTTGGTGAAGAATATCCAGAAGTACTGGGATCTATTTTGGGTGCCCTAAAAGCAATTGTTAATGTTATTGGTATGACAAAGATGACACCGCCAATTAAAGACCTTCTCCCACGTCTGACACCAATTTTAAAGAATCGGTACCTATTTAATGTTTGAAAAATCATGACTATTGATCTGTCGGGCGGTGTGTAATGTTGTTGATATTCATTGTTTTTATGGCCTAACAGCTATGTTTAAGTGACAAAAAACGAAGCTTTTTTCTAGCAGTGCAATATTTATTTAATGACACTTTTATAGTTTTAAATGCTTCACTTAATTATTTTACATTATTATTAATTTCCATCTATTGGTGCTTTGGATGAGGCATTAAAGAGTCAATGGTAGGAAAGTGAAGTGAAATATTTTTCAGACATGAAAAAGTACAAGAGAACTGTATTGATTTAGTTGGCCGCATTGCTGATCGTGGAAGTGAGTTTGTGTCAGCTCGGGAATGGATGCGTATATGCTTCGAATTATTGGAATTACTGAAGGCTCATAAAAAGTCAATTCGTCGCGCAGCAATTAATACTTTTGGATACATTGCAAAGGTTAAGCTTGGTTTTTTTTGTCATAAATATGAAAATCGATCTCGCTTTTCATCAGCACGGTGCACAAAACTCGTAGAACTTATTTTATTTAAATCCATCCCCTAAAAATTCCCTTCATCCTCTTGTTTATTCTAATTAGCACCATATTGACGTGACGTACGTCCTCCAAAAGGAAGTTTAGGTTTTTCGTCTCCGCTATCTTTAATTTAGGGGCCCACCACCACTGATGCAGATCGTTGGTATTGCGAGCGGCGTGCACCAAGGTAAGTGACGAGTTTGTTTGTTACTTGATTGGACCTTTACTTGAATAACACAATTTCATCATTGCGAACGGTTGTTTTGATATCTTCATTTGCAAGTTTGCGGATTTTAGAAAATATTTTTCAATCGATTTAATTTCATTATAAGACAAAAAAGGTTTTGCTAAATTCCGGGAAGCATCTAAAGCAACCGTTGTTATTTTTTCAATATGTTGATCAAAGAAAATAGCGCGGACTACCATCCGCGGCGAAGCTAGGGGATTATGACGGGAAAGGAAGCAAAGTTATGGAGAAATGAAGCTCGTCGATTTGTGGTGCAAAATATTCTTTGTATACTTGCATAAAATTTTAATCACAATCTTTCATCGTTCAAGGTAGCATGCGTGTATTGTGAAGAGTAAAATCATAGCATTTTAAGTTGAAATTTTAGTTAAATGTGCAAATGAGACAGTGGAAATTGAGCCGAATGTGGATATACAGCGTATGTTCCGGCGACCGTGTTCGGATCTGTGCGATTTTTGTAGTCTTTCAAGAAGTTTTTTTAAGTAGAAAATCTCGTGTTACATTTAAATTTAATCCAAAATTTAGAATTTCACTTTGTTTTAATTTCCGATATATTAGGGGACTTGAGGCGTAAGTTTGTTTTTATTAAAATTTGTTCAGTAGAGAAACATTACAGTACGTTTTATTTTGTTTTGTTCCTATTAGTACTCTTCATATGTTTATATATAATTTGTTACGAACTTTTGATTATAATCAAAAAAAGTGCGTAACATTTTTTCAAAAGTTGAACTGGTAGCTTTTTCTCTGCAATGATGTAGTTATTGGTGTATATATTTGCAGGCAATTGGTCCCCATGATGTTTTGGCGACACTTCTTAACAATCTCAAGGTACAAGAACGCCAGCTTCGTGTTTGCACTACAGTTGCAATTGCTATTGTTGCCGAAACATGTGCGCCGTTTACTGTGCTGCCAGCTATAATGAATGAGTATCGTGTTCCGGAGATCAACGTACAGAATGGAGTTCTTAAAGCACTCTCCTTCATGTTTGAGGTTTTTTATCATAAATTTATCGGATTTCATTGCTCTTTTGGATTTTACGAGGATTTAGTTCAACATGTCACCTAATAGGCTCTTTAAATTTACGAAAAGAAAAAATGAAAGAACATCCTGAAACAAACTTGGTACGTTCTTAATTTAATGAATGCTGTCAAGTCGTCAGTAGTAACATTTGCACATAATAGATTCATATGGCTTAGATAAAACATCTTCGTTATTTTATATTAATTTGTAGTGAATGTATAATTTGAACGAATTTCTTTAGTACATTGGAGAAATGGCCAAGGATTATATATATGCAGTTACTCCTCTTTTAGTGGATGCTCTAATGGAGAGGTGAGTCTCAAGCTGTTCACTTTTTTATTATGCTCGGCATTATCGTCTCAAGTGTAAATTCAGAATATCATCTTAATGTGCAGAGAAATCCATATATCTCCCCACGGAAAGTAATACTTGCTTTAGTGCTTTGGTTAATAGTGTTTATTGTACTTATTTCACATCTATATGAAATATTTCTGCAAGCATTTCAATCCCATTTTTGGGCACATTTATCCGACCCCATACGCATTTAGTGGAATCCTTATGGTCTGTCATGTAATCTCATAACATAAATATTCAAAAAGCACTTGATTTATTGTGTATTACTGAATACAAGCATTGGTTGCAATTTTTTTCAGAGATATTGTACATCGACAAATAGCAATGGACGCTGTTGCCCATTTAACTTTAGGGGTTTATGGTTTTGGCTGTGAAGATGCGTTAATTCACATTTTTAATTATGTTTGGCCGAATATGCTTGAAAACTCACCGCATGTAATACAACGGTAGGTTTTTTTCTTGATTGTTAGTGACATCACTGCTTTTTGCATATTGAAATTTGATACATGTAATGTTCTAGGTTTGTTTTTGCCTGTGATGCCATGCGCGTATCTCTCGGCCCGATCAAAGTACTTCAGTATTGTCTTCAAGCTCTGTGGCATCCAGCAAGAAAAGTTCGCGAACCAATTTGGAAGGTAGTCTTTTTCTTCTATACCATGAAATATTTAAAAAGTTTCTTTTCGGATAAGTAAATTTTTACTTTAACGAATATGATTTGTCACGCACAAGCATCTGACTAGGAGTTTTCTTATATCAACAATGGTATATGATAGTAATATAATTCAATTTTTTTAATTTTTAGGTCTTCAATAACTTGGTCTTAGGATCTCAAGATGCTTTGGTTTCTGGATATCCGCGAGTACCGAACACTGAAAGGAACAATTTTGTGAGATACGAGCTTGATTATGTACTTTAATATGCGGAAAATTTGTAATCCTCTTGCTGATTTCCGAAATGGTTTGTATGTTGTTCAGTTTTTCATGAACAAATTTATGTTGTGAATATTTCTTTCGGGCATAACAGCGCCGTTAAACCAGTATTGTTCTGTATGGGTTGAGGAATTTAAATTTCTTAGGGATGAGTATAAGCAAATTCTTCAAGTACATGTTTCAGTTTGAGAAGCTTAGCAATATATTCTATTATCTGGAATTTCGCTGAGAGAAAGACAATTTAATGGATGGAAATTACAGCGGCAATTATGTTTTTTGAAACATTCAGTTTTAATGTATGGTAACCATCTCGAGGGTTCTGTGGTTTTGTTTTTCCCAAAGGAAAGTACGTATAAAGATAAATTAGAAACATGCATTCCTTTTGTTCAGAAATCAATTGCAAGCTAATTTAAATATTTTGAATAGCAATCGCTATTGTGATTCTGTTTTTCATACTTTTTTACCCTCTGCCAACAATCGTTTCTATAGTTGAGATTGTTTTGTTCAAATAAATATTGTGAAAGTTTGCTTTGATTCATTTATAAAAAAGGCATTGTAAAAACGGCTGGCAAACTTGTTTTCTGATAATGTATATGGTAGGTGGATTTAGATCTTTTTATAAGATTGAGTTTCGTAGTTTTGTAGTACTGTTCTGCTTGTATGCCTTGTTGTGACCTGCGACTAAAATCGGAAAGACTTCTGGAACTTCGAATATTAGCGACGTTCGTTAACCAGAGAAGCATAGTTTTCTTTAGGATTTCGCCAAATGGGAAATATCGTATTGAAGCCGATATGTTATAAGGAAAAGAACATGTAGCTTCCTAGAAGAGTTTACATGAATATAACTGAATAGCCGTAGTCGGATATTATTTTTTTTTTTTGAATATAACATGAATAGCCGTAGTCGGATATTATTTCCCTGGTAGAGTTTTTGACAGGCTGTGTACAACTTGCACTGTGACTTTCAGGGTATTGAATGAGATATGCTTACGTAAATGGTTGTAAATGAAACCGAAACAGGATAACGTGTTTCGTGTTTATCTGTGCAAAAAAGGTGACAAGAAATGTAAAGGAAGGAGGTGTGACGTCATATTGGTAATGCAATATTTCTTATATACAGTTGGATTTTAATATAATTAGCGAATGCTTTGATAGTAATGGAAAGAGGAGCTATTCAGATTGGAATACTCAGATTTGAATGTAAATGCTGTACTATTCAGTGGCGTTCTTTCTGAGATTTCATTATGCCATATAAACTTGGAGCTATTTGCGGTTCTGTTTTGGATACAATCGCTTGTAAAGCCTCATGGGCATGTCAATCAAAACGATGCATTCATTCTTTATTTTTTGTTTGATCAGGATATTGTTTCTATTTTTAGAGTAGTAAGGATCTTCCTGGATTATGTTTGGGTAATATATTAGAGATCTCACCATCGCTGGATCAGCGGTTTTACGTACAGCATTTACATGAAGATGTGGAAAGTGGGGCATATAGAGAAAGACGTATTTATATTGAGAAAGCCATTGCCGATATGTTTTCACTTTCTCAAAACCAATATGTTACAGTCAAAATCGTCGAGAAGGAAGAGGTAAGTTGATAAAAGTTTGGACTACAGCGAACATGATTTAGGTATTCGTATCGAACCCCTTGTTTCTCATGCTCTGTTTACCAGAATATATTGCAATGGTATAATAGGTTTATTCCCGTATCCACAACGCCCATCATTTATTAATCTTTTTTCTTTTTTTTAAAGTTTCGGTCTCACTGTAAAATTATTGAATTTCTATTATGTATAGTTTAAAATAAAAGTAGAATCGAATTCATAGGTAGTGTTGGATAACATCGAGATCACTATAAAAGAACGTTATGTTAGTCGATCCGATATGTGGCGCTATCGGGATTGCCTTATTGACACATGTGCCTATATTGGAAAGAAAGTGGAGTGGTTGCTCATCCCATCAACCGTTATTAGTCTTTGGGCAAAGGGTGAAGTTGTAAGTATTTTATTATGCTTATACTAGGAACTGTATGTAAACTTCTACACTGATAAATTTTGTTCTGAGGGCAAGTTGTGTCCAAAATTCATGAAATTCAATATTGGTTTTCTTATAGCTGCTTAATTGCACAGGTCAATGTTTTGTTATTGTTTGCTAGTAAAAGTTTGCCAGCGATGCCCATAATTATTTAACATAAGGATACACGTTTTCAAACGTAATGACAAGCGAATAACGAAGAACTACCACCGTGTGTAAATGATGATCGTTGAGAAAGATACTAAAGCAATTACATAATACAAGTGTTTTGTATACTTTAGGCAATATAATCAATTTATAATATTTATTTTCAGGTTAGAAGTGGTTACATATCAAAGGATACACGTGTAGTGTTTCGTTCAGCAAGTGCTATGGTGTGTTGTTGAATCATGATTATTTCAATCTTCAGTTTAGTTTTATCATTAAATATAATTTTCGTATTGTTATGGTACGAAATCATTCAGATGCTGGTATATGTTCAAATGAGTTCAGAAATGTGGGATTTTGATCCATATGGTGATCTTTATTTCGAAAAATGTGTTAATGGTTTTTTTCCACAACTATTTGAACAATGGAATAAACATCATTGCGCACATTCGATAACATTTGTTGTCACTTCAAGGTTATTTTTATTTCTATACGGCTTTGTGAAAATCATTCTCTATCAATTATGATACTGCACTGCACTGTTGCTTGCAAGAGCCTAAAGATCGAGATCTAAATTTAAGGTTTCCATATAGGTATTTATTCTTAGCTTATATTTTGGTGCGCCTTGAGTTTCAATATCTGAGAGATTTTCGTTTAAAGTTTGATCTAGAAGACTGGATGAATGAAGGAATCGTTATCAAAATAGTGAGCAGGCGAAGCTGAAATATGTGATATTATAGCGTCGTTTTTCAGATGGTACTTTAAAGAAGAGGTTTTGAACGATGAAATGAAAGAGAAACTGAGTATAGATTACAGAGGAAAATATTACGAGGTCTGATTGCCAACACAGTTCGTCATTCTTTAAATCATATTTTATCTCAAAGTTCTGTGTGGAACATCGTACCTTTTTGCAGGATTTTTATCGAATTATCGTGCAAAATGAACATTACGATGATTGGGAGCATGCTGTTTTATCGAAGGTTTGCAGCTTATTTTATCTTATATGGATGTTTCTTCACAACTAATATGTTTTATTTTGTATTACAGTTACGATTGGTCTTCAATACGTACAAAACTACCGTAAAGGAGTTCATCTGCAAGCAATTAAATGTTTGTATTGAATTTTCTTTGTAAATTCCCCTTAACTTTACTAATATAACTTACCATTTCCAATAATTGTCAAATCTTTAATTTTTCTATCATATCAAAAAAGTCGAATAACTTGTATCTTAGATGGATGCAAAAGAAAAAGAACTTGCTGTGCTTTCAACGGCTGCTGATGGTAATTTTCTGCAAGTCCTCAATTTATCCATGAATGAATTTAGTGCTTGCTTTACCAATTGTCGTTTTGAAACTGTCGGCCAACAGGTTCGCATGTTTTTAATATTTTCTCTTTTTTAAATCTAGATTTACATATGTTAATCGTTGGTTTGAATATATATATATATATATTTCCGGCAATGAGGAAGTTTTTTGTTGTTAATATGAGATAAGAATTGGAAGAGATGCTGGTGCTGGTTGGAAAATAGTTTAAATCTTTTAAATATCATCCAGATAAAGTTTTGCGGATAGCTAAAAATATTCAGATTTTACAGTTCGAAATTTTTGGAGAATTAATAGAATTTCAGATCGTTTTTGTCAGCGCAGGTGGCGGAGTTTTCAATGTTGATCGTGACATAGTCAATATGACTAAGCAACGTCTCATCGATATGGGTATATCTCTGGATCTTGTCTGCCTTGGTGAACAATCACTTCACGCTGTTCCTCTTTTTGTTTTTCAAAGGTTATCCATTTCCTGTATTCTTCAACTCTTGCGTACCATTTTTAAATTTTTCTTTCTCTGACTTCTTCGTTTTATAGTGTTTCATTTTTATTAGCGATAGGTTAATATTGAATAAATCAAGTATTGGATTTTATCCTAGATTTTTTTGTTGTTGTCTCGAAGATGTTTTAAGATTTCCTCTCAGTCATATTGTTTATTAATTAAGAACAAACGGCATCTATCTTTCGGACGATTATTTAATACCGTATTGGATGAATTATTCATATTATCAAATGAGCCGACGTTCCGCAATATCAATCAAATTCAAACCGAGAATTAATCTTCCGGATGAGTTGCTTCGGGTTGGTTGTTATTTTTTGTTTTGCATCTAATTAAAGTGTAATGTAGACTTACTTAATTTTGCATTTTCCCTACAGGATGCTCGCAGAGGTCTGGTTATGGAGACGAATGGTTCATTTATTAATGATATGGATGCTGCCGATGAGAAGGCGTTTTCATCACTTATTGAAAACAGTTCTATGAAAAGTATCGCATCAGAGTTCGCAAAAGAGTTTTTGTTGAAGAAAAACTTGAATTGCAGGGACATCATATTTGTTTGTATTTTCAGTCTTTCTTATATTTTCATTTTTATCTCATTTTAATTTTATCGAAACCCTCTTCCAAGCACAAATAAAATGTTGAAAGGGAAAAATAAGAAAAAGAAGGAAAAATAAGTAAAAATAAGAAAAAAACATTCCTTTCAATACGTTCTCATCTTAAACAGATTTAGAAATGAATAGATTGTGGTGCTAAAATAGAACATTGCAAGACTGACGTATTTATTTTTCTCCTGATTTATCGATATATAACGATGTAATATTAGCTGATTGCAGGACATAAGATAATATTACAGATTCCTGTTATCTTTTCAGATAGCTTTATTTATGACTACTGTATAACCGACTGCAAAGAAGAAAAATATGATAATGAAATTTTCAGGAGACACATCATGGAATGGACAGTTCATGGCGAAATAGCTTCGAGAAATGTGTTGCAAGTAGCCCTCTTGAACCTGATTCACTGGTGGATCCACTGGAATGTAAAAAATTACAAGATACACTGACTGTGACTGAAAGACGTCCGTTAATTAACCCATTTAAACCGGGAGAATTTAGTGGTACGTATTTGTTTTAATTTCATTCTGCACTACAAAGGGACTTGTGGTCTGTTGTTTTAACATTTTGTTTTGTTAGTTATTACAATAGGAGATATTTATTTAACACCGTTTTCCATTATTACCAATGATAACAGTAATTGCTAACTGATTTTTGTTGCTATTGAAAATAATTACATCATACTGACCTTAGAATTTGAAATCGTTACATCGGTTTTAAACGGCATTACTGGTCTACTAAGTATGTTACACTCGGTTCGCAGTTGAACATCTCTACTGCTCAGTGGAAAGGAAGAGAAAATTCTATTAGCGCAATTTTTGTCTTCTTTGAAGTTTCAAATGTAAAATATTGAGATATATTATATAACTAAATTCTCTATCTTTTCAAAAATTTCTCTAGAACGAAGTAGAAAATCAATCAACAGATAGGTGGACGGAGGTTTTGGTAATTGGTATTGTGGTATGTTTAAGAGCTAATATTTTATATTTGATGCCTTTCCTGCTTGTGATCGGAAGACACACTGTTATATTGTATAGTGCAGGTATGTATTTGACAGCTGCAAAAGTACAATATGTTCAATACTTTACTGTATGTGAGTTTACTAAGCTTTCAGTACCAATCACAGCTAACCGACGTCGTTGGATTCATGTGTTTCCGGTAGACAAACTCGGCCGTTCAAAATTGGCGCATCATTATGTAGCCGGTAAAAGTGTCGTTAATATCATACAGGTTGATGAGCCAGAACCGAGTGAAACAACTGTTAGTGTTAACAGTTCCCCATCGTGTAGGTCGTCCTCTGCTCAACTTTTTGAAGATGTTGGCAGGTTTGTGAAAATTTTCAACTTCATTTTCACTAATTTTTTGAAGCAAAAAATCACTGAATTATTGGGAATGTTCAGAGCTATGGTACCATCAGTTTCATTTTAGGATTACAAGCGTTGTTTCTGTATATTTCACTAAATATCTGCTGTTATTGCTGTTAATTTTTTAATAAATTTTTTCTTCTCTTTTTTAACCAAGTAGATGAATAGGACACTCAACAGAGCAATAATGCAGGAGAAATAGAAGCTATGCATATTATATTTATAATAAACAGAAAATACTGTTTTGTTTTTAATTTGATTGTAAGAATGGTCATAAGCAAAATTTTTGCCTAATTATTTTTATAGGGTTACAGGGCTGGGAGCAGGAGGAAAGAGATGCGTTTGGGCTTGGGGTTCAACTGGTGAAGAGAAATGGAATCCAGATATGGAAATTGGTGTTGACTGGAAATCGCTTATACGTGCAGCTCTTCTTCCATTAACTACCGATTTTTTTTCGGATAGACGCAGTATGTTTGCAGACTATACAAAAAAAGTAATTTATTTATTTGCTTGTTTTTATTACCTTCTGGTTATCGCTTATTTTAATGAATGCTTGAGGTTACAAGTTTGAGGTTTTTTTAGATAGGAATCGTTTAGGAATGTACGAGCATGATTGATTAAGAGTTGTGGTTTTTTAGTTTACATTCAGGCATTCACAAATTATGAATGTAAGAAGGAGTCTGTGTTCACTCTAACTAAAGTGAAATATTCATTATGTTTGTTTAGTCCCACCAGCTGCCGGTGTATTTCGATTCGGTGCGTGAATGGTTGGAAGATTCGAACTGTGATGATTTAGAATCCCTTCAGAATCTTGTCTTTGACCAGCTTGTTTATCAGCGATTACAACGTGGCTTTCAAATAGTTCTTCTGGATAAAAAGATGTTACATGCAGCTATTGGCGCTAATGTAAGTTATCATCGTGAAACCTGGCGATTATTGATGAAATTCAAATGTAATGCTAATAATGTAATATTGAATTAATCGTAGTTTAATCAGCAATTATTTACCAGTAAATTCCTTGATTTTGTAGTATTTTGAAAATGCAAAACATATTTGTGTGAAATAGCTTCCATTCTTCGATTTGACATTGTTGGTTATTTAGGAAGAGCACTCAGAAACAGAATGTACGAATATGGTTTCTCGAGAATGTTTTTTATCATTTAATCGAATTTATCACCGTTTGTATATGGTAAACGATAAAATAACTGTTAGCCAATTTTCACCAAGACTTGAGGAACCTCAAGAAACACCTGAAGCAGCTAAACGAAGGGAATATAGATATCTGTTCCAAACACCGGACAGTCCTCAATATACTTTATGTAATGCAAGGTATTTCTTTTATTTATTACTACTTAATTTCTCTTTAAAAATATTTTTTCTTCAAGTTTCTGGAAGGTAACACTAGTTTATAATATATAATATTGGATGATACGGTTTAATAAATATTTGCATATTGCAAACATTCTTACAAGAAACACATTCTTACAATTATCGGAAATCATAATTAATAGCATATATGTCATGCTATAAATTGCTGAAGGAAGAGAACGTATTGCAAAATGTTGAGCTGAGTTTCAAAGCAGGTGTTTTACTATAGGTCGATGTATTTGCCTTAGTTGTACTAAAATTGGAAATATCCATTAATTGATCCAATGCATTTCTTTAAAATCTAGATTTCAAAAATGTGACCATTCAAATCTGAATTGGAGCCTTCTTGACATAGAACTGCAGAATCGTTATGTTCCACGGTTATTCCGAGAGGATATGAAATGTTTTGCATCGAGGTTTTTTTATCCTTCATGTTCTTTCGCTAAGTTTTAATTATTGTGATATAATGCTATTTTATGCTTCTGACAAAGAAAAAAGCGAAATAAAAAGCGGTTTCTTTAGCTGTAGAAATAAAAATAAATGACCCGACACCATTATAATATTTAGGTTTTTATTAACACCACTGTGTGCTTTTATAACGAAGACAATTATAATTGAACGTAATGGTGGTGATAAGTATATGGAACTTTTTGATCCATCATTCTCCAGAAGGCAAGAAGAAGGATTTTTGAAGTTTCTTGAAGTGTTAAATCGATTCAGAAGGAAAACTTCACCAAGGCACAGGAGGTATTGAGTTATTTTTTTGTATTAGAAAGGGCATATTACTATTTGAAGATTTACATCTACTAATATTTTTGACCGGTTATTTAAATTAATGCATTTTATTATTATGGCATAACCTCCAGGTCAATGGTCTCAACGAGCGATGTAGAAAGTCCAATATATAGCGTTGAGAATGTTGATGCTTTGTTAAATGGTTGGCGTCAAAGCTATTTGCCACTTTATTCGCAGGATTCCACCAGTCGATTTCCGTCGTGCATGTTTCTGACAGTAGAATTTATTGCCTGGCTAATGGCTAATGTTTCCGAATTATCGAGTCGAGAAGCTGCTCTGGAATTTGCGGAAAGCTTAATTTCAGCTGGAAAGATACGGATGCTTCAACCGAGTTTATATTTTGATCCTTATTTGAAGAAAATAATTTATACTTTTCTAGACTTAACACGTTGTGAAATTTTGTGCATACATATATTTAGCGACTTTATCTTTTTCATCACTGATGGAATCATCAATAGTTTATCTGGAAATGAGAAAGAAAAATGGATTAAATAGAACGTTCCTTGTGAAGAGGCTTATTTCTCTTGTGATGATGATTTAGATATAAAGCAGATTTTTATTTATTCTTTATTTTCCATTCATTTTCAGTTGAAACATTAGATGATCTGGATTCTTCTATGTCGAATGAAAATCACTGGCATGAATTTCGTTGCGGTTTCTTCTTGTGTTACTTTGTGAATAAATATGTTTCGGATGACAAAATAGAAGAAAGAGAAGCTTGGTCACGAGTTATTCAGTGTGAAATTGGTAAAAAGTAAGTTGTCGGTGTATTGTTGGTTCGGATAAAGTTCTCAAGAATATCGATTTTAGGTGTCCGGGTCTCACATCAGTCGATTGTACATATAGGCTGAATTCTATAGAAATGAAGTTTTATGCGCAGTTACAAAAAACAGCTGACTCTGAAGGACATGAATATCTTCCACAACATGTGTTGCAATTCATGGAATGGGGCAAAGTAAGCATTTTCCCAATTTTCATTTTTGACCTTGTTAGATAACTCTTTCAATAGTGGCACGATTGGATGTGGTTGGGACTATAAATGATCTAAAAAAGAATCGACAGCTAAACATTTGCGTAAACTTCATTGTAGCCTTCACTGAGTGGTCTTGGTAGATCAACATGTATTCTTTAATTTGTTTGAAGCTTTCTGAAATATTTTTTGTCGTTCTGTAATATGATTAGATAGAGAAGTTTCCATTCTTATATCATAATTTGTTCAAGATGACTTTGTATTAGACTATCGTTTTTATTGAGGGAATTTAGCTTTCACTGTTATACTTGAATATTTGAGAGACTGCATGTGATTTTTTTTCATTCAGGTTTTTTATGAAAGAACATTTTGTGCCACAAAATCTTTCGAAATTGGAGTTCGGTGGTTTATGGCAAACAGTCAGACGGTAGCGGAAACTGTGCGTTACTGGTGCAGCAAAGCGGCTAACCTTTCTTTTCATATGTTTCCAGTGCCCGAGGATCCCTTTCCACATGCCTTGAACCCTCTTTCACCACCACTTCAGTGTCCTGTAATCATACCTTTCAGACCGATTAAAGTTCAATCGCATTATGTGAGGTTTTATGAAATAACTTATATTTTTTTGAATTAACTTATAAATAGAGTTTTTTAAATCGTGAAATTTTGTGCTACAGTTTCTTTGCGTTATTACCTATCCCGTCTGACCTAAGACTTACAAAATTTTGATTTGCTTATTGCATCGTGTAGTTCTAGAAATATTTGCTTATATTCAAATTTCTATAGAATTTCGCTTTTCATATTATTGTAGTTCTTTCTTTGAAAACAACGCATCATGTCTATCCAATACTAGATTAAGTGGTGCACTATCTACGTTTCTAATTTTGTAAAAATGGTTTTGATATTCATCACTATAGATACATTTAGATCTGTCGACTTATTACTGCCATAATCACAGCTTTTGGATTCATCGAAATGGGTTGTTCAGCACACCAGATACCACAATACGTTCATCTTACAGGCGGGATGTTTTTGATGTATGATGAAGTACGGCAGGTATTTGTTTGGTCGTGGAATCATATGCTCAGCCATCGATATCGCGCTAACTTGTTATTCTTTTCTCCACTATTTTTTTTTCTCTCGAAAACTTGAAAAAAATTCTGCATATATATAATTAGGAGGTTTCCACTTGATAAATGGTAATTTGAGATTTTCTCATCAAATATTTCAGTTCAACAATCTATGTTTTGATTCATTTAACGCCTCAAGTAAGTAAAATATTCATCAGAGGAAAGAGTGGAACTCATATATTCGTGTTTCAGGAATTGCTCGGAAGACTTTCAGGACTATATGCTCTCGGATTTTCGATCGTTTTGTAGCAATGCGGATAATCGTATTGACAATTATATTCATGATTTGCTTGATAATAAATAAACTGATTGCAAACTTGGTTGTAGATACTTGTGTTAAAGTTTACTGCTTTTTCGGTGCAGTAAATTCTTCCAAAGTTTTAGTATGAGATAGAAAATATCATTTCTTTTGCCTAGATGGTGTTAAACTTAAGTGCATCAGGAAACCTGGAACTGGCGATGAATAATTTTTGGTCGTGATGAAATATGCGCAATTGGTTGTTGGTCCAGCAGGAAGTGGCAAGGTCTGTCTTTAGTTGAAGTGATATTGTTTAAATGGGCTTCATAATTTCTTAAGAGTTTTGAAGTTTTAAAAAAGACATTATTTGAAAGATCGACATTACTACCTTTGAAAAAAGGTCTCTACCCCATGAATGTGACTATTTGTAATTATATACCCAATATATGAATGTTTTAGTCGACATATTGCTCTGTGATACAACAACATTGTCAATCGATAGGTCGTAGCATTTTCTTTGTGAATTTGGATCCTGCGGCTGAGAAATTCACTTACAGTGCTGTTGTTGGTTTGTTTATTTTACTTACTAAATTTACTGCCTTTTTTTGATTTTTGAAGCCAATTTATCATTAAATTTCTAAGTTGGTCGCTACTACTTATTAACTTTTGAAGTTATCCTCTTTTCCATTTTTATTAGTTATTTACTGGAAACAAAAGAAATACATTTGACTTTAGTCACAGACATATATTAGTCAACCTTACACATTTGCAATGATAATTGTACACAATTATTTTTATATGTTAGATGTGCGAGAGTTAATTAACGTGGACGACGTACAAGAAGATAAGCAGTTAGTACTTGGCCCAAATGGCGCTTTGGTATTTTGCATGGAATATCTCGTGCAGAATTTGGATTGGCTTCATGATCAGTTAAATGAGGGAGAGGACGATTATTTCATTTTTGATTGTCCAGGTTCTTACTTCATTCTTTTAGATCTTTCGTTTCACAGTGCTTTCGTAATTTCGATTTCATCAGGAATGCAGTTTGAAGTGTAAGGTAATTTATATTTTAGACATGCCATTGCCGAACACCGCAAAAAGTCTTCCCTAAGCACGCAAGAGGGAAATCATCATTAATAATTAGGACTGGTAATTATATAATTGAAATCAATTCATGTTCTATTAATTCAATTTATTTAGAATGCAGTCTCATCATGTTTTTTTTCAAGGTCAGATCGAGCTCTATAGTCACTTACCGGTAATGAGACAAATTGTTAATGCATTAAAATCATGGGATTTTAATATCTGTTCCGTATTTTTGCTTGATACGCAGTTTGTTTTGGATTGTGATAAATTTTTGGGTGGTGCACTAACTACTCTCTCGACTATGATTGCAATGGAGGTAAGCTTATATGTATTAATAATGAAAACTGCTAAGAATAGCAATGGAGAATCACTATTTTCTAAATTTCATTAATTATATATGTTTTGAAGATGATTACAATTATAGGTTCCGGCAGTGAATGTGTTATCAAAAGTGGATTTGTTATCACAGCGTAATAAAGAATTGCTGGAAACTTTTCTGGAGACTGATGTATTCTCTCTTCTGGACAGTGAAGAAACCTCACCCTGGAATGAGAAATATCGCCAACTTTCACGAACAATTGCTGGAGTTCTGGATGATTATAGTCTTGTGTGTATTTTTATTGTATATGGGCATTTTATGCTCAATTTTTTCTCCTTGAAAAGTTCTAATGAAGTTGGAATTTTTAAGCTAATGAACTTTTGTAACTTCAGTACAAAGTCTTCATGTGCTATTATAAATCTTAGGAACTTTTGCATTACTGATTTTTAGAACCTGTGTTTTTCCAGCTTTTTTATCAATGTCATTTTGGACAAATCGTCTTGATTATTTTTTCATTATGAAAATATTTTCACAGAGAGCATTTTTTGAGGTACGCTTTGTTCCGTTAGATATTGAAGATGATGAAACGATTAGTGATCTTCTGTTGCTCATTGACAATACAATACAGCATGGTGAAAATTTGGAAGTAAGTTCTATATATATATTCATAAAAAGTAATGCAATATGTAACGTAGTCTTGAGTTAGGCTGTTGAAACGGAGAACTATGTGTGTGCATGTGAGAATATGTCAATATAGTGTGTATTTTTTTTATAAATCAGAACTATTGAAAATTAAATGTTTCATAGGCATCTTTATAAATGTATAGAATCCAAATAAGGAGAACGGTTGTTTTAAGCTATTCGAAAAGAAGACTTGAAGCTTTATCTGTCACGCATTGAAAAGGATATAGAGTGCATGATAATATGGGTGAAATGTTACAATTTTTGGTCTCATATTTTTCCTCATAATTTTATTTCTTGCTTTATAAAATTCACAGAAAAAAGTGGGAAATTTTGTAACGGAAGACTAAGCTGCTTATCCAAATAATTATAACTGGTTCCTACTAAAGTTTAGTATAATTTTTTATATTCTGTATTTCAATAACTTTTCAGGTAAAAGATCGTTATCCGGAAGAAGTAAAGAATGACAATACTGTTTATTGAGAGTGCCTACGGAACAAGAGGTTCTCATTTCACTCTTGCGGAGACGATTTGCATATTTTTATCGTTATAGTTGTTTATTCATGTTGCTTACTGATTTATTAAATAAATACTGACTTCTGTTATTTGCAACGCTCTGAATAGTTCATTATGCACAATGCTGTTTGTTATACATCAAGAACCTGACCAAGCTTTATTGAACGAAGAAAACATTATGCTATCGCACAAGCGTCTAAGAATATGTTTTGTACTCGCGTACTATTCTACAGCAGCGTCGCTCAACATGTAAACAAACCGGGCATTTGTTTCCTTGTCACCATTCCGGCTTATCTATGCTATGTAATTTATTGACAAACATTTCAAACTTCTTTGGGTTTTTAGGCGGAATTTCGCGTAAGGTTCTGCTTTGCACGCTCAAGCTTAATTCCTGATACGGCATAAGGAGTTACGAATAATAATAATGATAATAATAATTAATAATAATAAATAATAATAGTAATAAATAATTATAATAATAGTTAATAATAATAATAATAATAATAATAATAATAATAATAATAATAATAATAATAATAATAATAATAATAATGGTAAGGAATACATTGATAATTCAAGGAATCACTGTGGTTGTTTTGCAATGACACAGTAAAATATCGATTTGAAATATTTTTATGATTCAGTTATTAACAAAATTGTAGGGCTCAAAGTAGAATTGATATATAAACGATATACATTAGAAATTTATTGATATTTTGGTGTTATCAAGCATGTGATCGTTAATCTGATCGCTCGATCACTGATTTCAAATTATTAACTATGTGCTCGCACATAATCTGTGATTAATTCAAAATACTTGATATTTTTTGCCTTACTACAATAGCTTACTGCTTTAATTCTCTCGCAAATGATATGATCAATGAGAAAACGTATATTTTATTGGATTGAAGACATGTTTGCGATTTATTGTGATGATAATTTTCTTTTTATGATAATTGCTAATTCAATTTATGATTTTCTTTTCTATTGGATAGTGTTACTACTTAGTTGAAAGAGTTGCGAAAACGATTAACGTTATTCGATCATCACGACACTCTTGAATTTTTGTCAATTTCCTTTGCAAAAAGTTTTAAGTTTTTCGATTTTGCATCAAATTACAAATGATATGAAGTGATTAATTGGTGGTTTATCTTTCTTATTTAGGCTCGGTTCAATATAACCGTGATTTGTCAATTGCTGATTTAAAATTTTTATTGTTTTAACACTTCCTTCTTTATTTTGATCATATTTTCTTCCTCAAAGAAATTTCCAAAATTTGCTAAATTAAAAGAGAAGTGGGAATAGTAAAGGCCACTAATATTACAAGGTCACGAGATCAATTTTTGTCTGATTATTGAAAGATGCGCTAATAAATAAATTTGGAAATAATATGATAGAATCAAATTTTGATGCATAAATTCAAACCAAATTCTGTGCTTGCAGAATAAAGGTTCCCTTATCCATTATCGTTTAATCCCAATTATTCATTAGTTCCTAACTCGCATTATCCACATTACTTTTTGACTTTGAGCTATTATTGAAACGTATTAGTCTTCTAACTCTGTTTCAATCCTAAATGACAAAAAGAGCAGCGCTGCCCTAAAATTTTAATAGTTTATTTAATTATTGCAATTGCGTGATCTGTTTACTGCTCAAATTGATTCATTTGTAATTTTAAGATAAAGGCGTGAACTACTAATATTGATGATAGAAGAATATAAAAAACAGATTCTCCTAATTATCGTGATTGTTGAATTTCAAATCAGTGCACTCATAGCAAAATTCCAGCAGCTACGTTTTGAAAGTCCGTGTGCAGCCTGCAATTTTATTAACCCACCAATTTCAAAAATTAAAAATGAATTTAATTGATCACTGTCACAATACCATCGTTCATGATGTCTTTTGGTTTCACACGCAATTCTGGAATGATCGGAACTTCTTGTTCAAAGCAGCATTGATAGCTTAAAATTTCTATAGTTTATTACTATATGCTACTATCAAGCTTTCTTTCTGGTACAAAAGTGCATTCAACAGCTTTTTATCGTTTTAGAAATTGAAAAATGACAATGCTGCTTGAATTTCAGGGAAAATTTCAGGGAAAAAGTTATGAGAAATAATGGAAGTAGCAAAGATTGGAAACTATTCAAACTTTCACTTGTTTAATTCCAACAAATCTCAAATAAAAAATTTCCTGCTAGTGTCTTTCTAAGTAATTTATTGCATTTCATTTTTGTTTTTTTAATAATTTTGAATTTCAGATTACTTTCCATCGTATCGATGACACGCATCATTTGGTTCACCTTTTTGCTTTATACGGTTAAAACTATGGATTTTCCTGGTTACCCACAAAAAAATGTTTTTCCGATCGGTCCTTACCAATTTTCTTTTCCCTCACCCGGCATTTCCTTTCAAAATACAGTAGTTCAACAGAAAAGCTACTGGGACAATCAGCACTTCTCAGGTA